AACTAAATTTCAATATCGTGATAATACCGCATACCGTGATAAAAGCATTAGTAATTAATCACAACATAAAAATTTTATACCGGCATATCCCAAGACGTGCTACTTCGGCTGTGCATCCTGCGTCATCAACCCGGAACTAAAATTCGATTCAGTTCGATTTGTGAACCAGCTCAACAGGTTACTTCCTGAGAACCGGCTCAAAAGAACGATTCGTTCAAGAACCTAACATCACTATTATCTATTGGCTGTGTTGGATTATTCTCTTGCCTTGCCCTCTGGACACTGTTTGCTGGTGTATTACCTTTGCCTGTCTGACTACGCTCTTTGTTTGAATAAAAGGCTGTAATTGGATCCGACCTTGCCTACACTACCCTCATTGTTACAGCCATTAATATATATGCCGATTTTGAGTAAATTCTATAAAGTAGTAAATCTATAAATCATTAGAAAATAGCTATAAAAAACTGTCTTAAGGACTACTCAACTTAAATATAGATAAACACCTATGAAAAGTAGAGATAAACACCTATGAAAAGTACCTACTTTTATTTCATTCAGATTCACCCTACAGTTGTTCACCATCCCAACAAAATGGTGAGCATTCAGTTCATCAAGAAGAACATAAACAGCCACACCACGTGTCGCTGCACCAAGGATATCAGCAAAGATGTCAACATCTGTAAACATATCCATCACCACAGCAATAACCTAGAACAAGAAATAAAAAATATATTACTCAAAGAAAAACATTATGCATTACATGACATGATATCAGAATAAGTTTCAGTTTTTGTATTCTTTCAAGGGTTTTTTGGGGGGTGGTGCTTGTGAAGTGTCAACATTGCAGGATAACCATATATACAGTAAATGACAAAGAGGTCAATATCAGATGAAGAGAGGTGGAGGACAGGAAAGACTGTCTACTTTTATGTTTACTTAGACTTCGGTTTACCATATTGTCAACAATGATGGCCCAGTCTATTTTACATTCGGCAAAAGTTCATGAAAGAGACTGCCAAAGTAAAAAAAAAATCTGAAACTCAAACTGCCTCAACTGTGAATTCAGTCTAACAAAAGAACATTTTGGAGAAAAAAGAAAAAAAAACAAGCCTGCAGAATATGCATGATACTTTTACAATACAGAGGCATACTGTGAATGGCATTACTCTAGGCCAGTGAATCTCAACCTTTTGGCGTACCAGACCCCAGTCCAATTCAGAACCATCCTCAAGGACCCCCAGAACAAAATTGACTCGTATCATTTGTGTCTTTGTGAGGACCAAATGCAGTCAAGTATAATTCAAGTTAGCTGACTTGTCCAGTATTTGGCCATATCATCAGCCATATTGGATTTTTCTTTCATGGGAACATGTCATGTCAAAATATACAACATTTATACAAAAATTCATACTTTATACGGACCCCCTGGCCTTATGTCAAGGACCACTAGGGGTCCACGGACCCCTGGTTGAGAAACACTGCTCTAGGCAACAGTGCATGTAATTGTATGCCATCTCATGCCATCTTTAATCACACCAACTATTATGATATTACATTACAGATCTTGTGTCAATTTGGCATAAAATCAGCATTTTTCATTTAGCACCTTTAGGCAAACTGAAACAAGAAACTTGTATTGTTTGCAGTTGAATTAACTGGAAGTTATAATGTCTAAATTGAAAGAAGTTAATTCAGTTGTGTTTGCCAATTAAACCAAAGTTCTAATTATATACTACAACCCTAATGAGTGCATAATAGCTGTCATTATGTCAAGTTTAGAATGAAAGGCCAGCTGTGAAACTAGTGTGACCAGTTTGCTGTACTAAGCTCTTACTACTTACTTGTGAAAACAGTACCAAAGCGGTTAAAATCACTGAGCAATAAGGGAAGACCGTCTGTATTTACTGACTTCTGTCATGCACTAATAATATCTTATTCCTGCACTTGAACAGCATGCAAAACTTACTTGTTGTGCATTCTTGATCATTCTACGGACTTGCTCCTTGATACTGGGCATCTCGGGGTCAGACGGGTTCACCAATGTAGTGACCTCAGTGGGTCCAACAAATCTGTATTGCTGTGGCCAGCCTAAGTCAAGGCTCGGAGCATCATGGTCTGAATGTACCGGCCAGTAAGTGTCAGAAGAGCCATCTACATCTTCAGTCATGTATCTCCTCTCTGGTTGGGCGGTGCGATGCGGAGCCTGCACCATGTGTTTGATATACTCAATCTCTGAACGGGATAAGAAATCAACCACATCTGCTTCCTGAAGAAACCCACAGTAGCCCTCCAAGTCAGCTTCAACCAGGGCATCAATCGCCAATCGGTATTCCTCACGGTAATGAGGGGGCAGGTAGTTGGGGTCCAGGGGATTGTCCCCGGCAGAGGAGCACTGGGAAAGATGAGCCATATTTACACCTGCACCAATGCAGACAGAGTTAAGAGAATAATTAACACCAGAAAAATGGTAATGCACATTAATTCCACATGAGGGCAACCACTCTGTTTTCTTCCATAGTTACATTAAACATAAATCAAACTGGATTATTGTAAATGCACACATTTTGATATAAACAATTTTAAAAATATGCTGGATACATATAAAATTTGTTTAAATTAAAAAAAAGACTGCTCACATAAATGGAAACATGTAAGAAGTCTTTGTTTCTTACATTTTTTAAACATAACCCAATGTCTGTTTCAATGATGAAATATATAAAATTTGTTTAAATTAAAAAAAAGACTGCTCACATAAATGTAAACATGTAAGAAGTCTTTGTTTCTTACATTTTTTAAACATAACCCAATGTCTGTTTCAATGATGAAATTTTTTTGAGTAATTAAATGCTATTTATTTATGTATAGTCATCCAGTGACATCCAAATCAATAAGAATGGATGTCACTAACTCAATAAATGTCGCAAAAACCCCGAAATCGAATGACATTCCTAAAACTACAAATAAAAGTAGGACAAGTCATAATATCATACTATGATTTCAATTAATTCATTTACACCTTTTTTATTATATATTTAGAAATAACTGCTAAAATGGTCACAAACTTATTCTTTTGAATGCAGGCCTATTTATTATCAGTTATGGTGATTTATGGTCATTATGGTCTAGAAATTTTAGTCATAATTGTGTCCCGTGTGTCTGAAGGGTTTAAATACGACATGGATACTAAAACAGAAGAAGAAAAAAAACGATCACGGAGTCCATTTCAAGTCTAAAAGACACATTTAAGTAATTTTAGTTAACACGTCAAGCAAAATTATCTCTGGACTTTCAAATTCTATTATAATATCAGCCAAATATTACTTGAAATATTACTTACTCGAAAAGCACGAATCCTGCACGTTATCAATCAAAATGAATCCGAATGGATCGAGTAAAGATCTCACATCTGCTTCAACAACCTCTGGGGTGTATCACAACAACAGAGAGACCACCATTTATGGGCTGAACTTGTCCAATTTTTCTCTTGTATTTATTTAAGTACAAATCATCGATCGATAACTTAATCACAGACATGTTTTCTTTCTCATGAGAATCGACGCAACTCCGCAATTTGTAGTCGCGAATCGTGAAGCTCTCCAAGTTTAGAAAACTTAGGCTACTGCCAAGCAACAAAAAAGTACAATTATGAACTACAATGACGTGGTAAAGTTTCCTCACATAGATTTAAAGTCGACTTACCAATCTAAAGTGCAGCTTTCCCTTAATTCTCTGTGTAAAACCCCTTCATAGATGCAAGACCGTCATGACGAACGACAGACGCAGTAACTTTCACTCCAGTGGAAGAAGAGGAAAACACACATCTCAGCCAACACACACACAGACGCATACACGCACACACAGGCAAAACCTGTTTGTGTTCGCGAGCAAGACAAAAAGAATGATACAGTCTTACTCAAAACAAGCGTTTGTCCATCTTTTCAAAAGACAATTAACTTGCGTGAGTTTCTGAGAAGTTAAAGGGGTCATATGATGTTGCTAAAAAGAACATTATTTGGGTTGCGTTGCATCGCGCCGCGTAAACATAAAACCATGTCTGCATTTGTGATCGGAGAAACGACAAACAACAAGCGCTACTCTACACCGCTCAAAACTTGCGTTTGGATCGTCAGTGGCAAATTCTTTAAATATAAAAACGTATTTACAGACTGTGAGTCAGAACAGCCGGCATTGTAGTCTACTCTACCAGGATCAGGAAACAGTCCTCCATAAAATGCGCTGCACACATCTGAATATTTGGGTTGAACTGTTCTGGAACAGTGTTGTAAATACAACTTAACCACTGATTTCTAGTCGTGTCCTCTTTTGGACGGCCAAACAAAGTAGGGCTAGAGTGAGCGGAGGCCAGAGGCCGGCGGCTAGAGTGAGGACTTAACTTTTATAAAGAATATCTCTTTGGATTTGAGACTTTAGTCTTTGCAACTTTACAGATCTTAAAACAGTAACACTCCAAAGAGAAAGGAAAAATTGAAATCGCATTATATGACAACTTTAAGGACAGACAGATTTCATTCATGACACGATTGAGTCCATAACATTGATTTCCATACGAGTATTAGGGTATATGCAAAGTTAATAATTCTCAATCCTAGTCAGTCTTTAACACAAGATCTTAACAACAAAGACTTGATCTGGAGCTCAAATACACACAAATTTAAGAATATGTGTTGGCCGAACATACAGTCAGTCAGAGATCACAGAAAACTTCCACCTGCAATAACACAGATCTTCAGACACTTATAAAAATACAAAACATATTATTAAAGTCATCAGTAATTAATTCATTTAATGCTTTTAATTTAATCCCTCTCAACTAATTCAATAGCAAACAATGCAATAGCTATACATTTTTATCTTACTGAAGAATTAATGCACAAATAATACCAATGAACAAGAATGTATTTGGACAAAGCCATAAAACTGTTATGAACATTCTATATGTTAAATATATTACCTGGATAACCAGTAATTGATTTTACTTTGTATATGACAAAAATTGTATCTTAGTGTGTGCAATCGAAGTGCAGATAAAATAATGGGGTCAAATGAGCCTGAACTTGTTAGGCTGGAACAGAATAACTTCTGTTAAGACAGCAAGGTCAGAAAGAAAAAAATACAGTCTATGTGAACAAAACTGAAATATGCAATGGGTACTAGCATTGCAGTGCTATACATAGATAATAATATATCACTATGCATGTTATATATTTATATAAGAACACACATAATATGAACATGTCTGCTTGTACTTTAAATCATTGATCAGTATGCATGTTCCTTGAAATGCAATGTAAAATTCCCCTTCATGTTATACACGAAGTAATTTAAGTTCACAGCGACTTGTGGGCAGGTAGATGATGACAGAATTTTCAGTTTAAAGGAGGTGATCTGTGGAAGACATGACTCGATTGGACTGACCACATTTTTAAAACATACTACAATTGTGCAATTTATCAAAACATACTACATATGTTTCTTCATTTGGCTCAAACATCCGACTGGACATGTGCTGAATGTGCATTATGTTTTTGCTGGAAGCAAAATGCTCTAAAATAACATACACAGCGCTATTGTTAACATCTTGTTTGCAGAGTTTCAGAATAAGGGTGTTACCTTTATGTATATGCCAGCATCACCATTAGCAACGGAGATGAAATCACATCATTTCTACGCCAGAAGGTCTTCTGTGTGGTTTATCTGGAAGAGATTAATCTTCGTGCGATTAGTTCCTGAAGAGGAATCACGTCTAACTTTACAGCCAATGCTTTGCCACTAAATGCTTGAACATTTTTCAAACCTCATTGTCATATTCACCTCTATTTTAAGTGTGCATTGTACAATTGTGTGGCAATTTATTTTGATTAAGTTTAAAAAATGTAACACATACATTACAATTTAATTGTTTAAATTGCACTGATGTGCTAATATATATAGTTGACAGCTCCTCAAACAAAAACAGTTCCTTTAAATCTTAATCAGACTTTGATTTATAGTCTTTACACAAATGCCTCAAATTCATATTTATCTGACAGTAACCGCTATTGAGCCAATGTTTGTAAAACTTGCCTTCTATAATGCTATTGCATATGTATTTGTTTCCCTTCCAAATAAAACTTGGCTATGGGAGGGCTACAGGATATGATGTCATTTCTCAAGTGCATGCCTGAACAACCCTGCATTGTTTCAACAGACACCGCCTAAAGCACATATTGCAAGCAGTGTTAAGGGTGAAGATTTACGTGAACTCGTACCTATAAACATTCCAAATGCAGAAGTCACATGTTTTTACAGATATCACTTTGCAGCTAATCCGCATGTGTTTATACCTGTTATGCTCATCACAGATCTTTAATGCCCTATGAAATGTCTTGACAAGCACAGTGTTATCTAATAATCAATAGCCATTAGTTGAGTCACAGTCAATGCTACTTGCTGTTGCAAGTTAGAGGTAAGGAGTGTTAGAGGGAGGGTCGATCTTATCTTAAAGAGCATTTGACTGGACAAAACTTTGCTACATTATACATGCTAAGTGAAGGTTTGGCTAGCCCCTACTGGGATTTGCTGTAATTTGTGGAAAAAAGGTAACCGTGACCTTTTAATTTCACAATTCAGATTTCTTTTCTTGCAATTCGGACTCGCAGATTGAGAGAAACAAACTTGTAATTCTAAGAAGAAGAGTCCAAATTGTGAGATGTAAAGTCACAATTCCGAGAGTCAGAATTGTGAAATAAAAAGTTACAATACTTTTTTGTTGTTATTTATTTCATAGCAGAAAAGAAAAACAGAATTGATAGATGTAAACTCAGAATTACAAGAAAAGAAAAAAGTAGAATTTTGAGTTTATTTCTCGTAATTCTGACTTAAAATTGTGAGAAAAAAGTCAGAAATGTGCAATAAAAAGTTGCAATTATTATTATTTTTTTTAATCCATGGCAGAAACAGGCTACACCATCTGCGTAAAAACAAACAAACAACAATAGCGTTTTTGGCAAGCAATAAAACATTTCATTATATTATAGGAATCAGTCTTACTAGCGTTCAAATTATTTGAACAACACTTAAAAACATAAAATGAAGATATCTAACAAAATAACAAAAGAAGTTATCATTACTGTTATGATCATTACTGTTTAGAAGGGGAGGGTTGTAACTACTTTCCAAAGTATTACTGGACTCACAAATATTGCACAAAATAGGCCAGTACACATTTGCCACAATTGTCAGCGTGACTAACTCATGTGATTTTGTTTGTTTGTTTTTTATGAAAAAAAAGCTTAAAATAAAATTACCAGTGGCATAAGGTAGTAACAACAGTAATCTTTACTTTACACTTATTTACAGAGTATTTCTTAACTACTTTAATTTGGTTTAGATAAAGTGGAAATATGATATCAATGTTTAAAACATAAAGCATTTCCATCTTTCTATACCTGTTCATTCTCTCTAACACTATTAAGTTTTTCCTCCTGGGCAGCTATTGGGGAAGAATGTCCAAGTCTTATCCCAAAACCACTCTGAGGTGCTGCAGGGTTCAGTGCTTGACCCGCTTCTCTTCTCAATTACACTTCTGCACAGCTTCTTAACCTGGGGGTCTGATGACATGATAACCAAATGACATTGAAGTAACAGATTAAATATTAAAATGACTCATTAAAAAAAAAAAGATAATTTCCCCCCTTTTCTCTTTTTAACTTATCTTTTTATTTCATGGTACATGTTCAAGCATATAATAAAGGTAATGTGGGACGCTATGGTTTTGTATACTTCCTTTTCCCTCTATAGTGTACTAGCAATCTTTAGCTATTCAAAATGGAACTGTGTGAAGGGCTAAGCCATTTGTCATTTTTTATTACAATGCTAGTGACAAATTACCAGAAAGTGTCAAAGTTTCCTCCACACTAAAAATATCAGGTCAGACCTACGAAGCTTGAAAGCAGAGAGAAACACAGATTGACAGATGAGACAGGCTTCAACTTTACAAAACACACCTCATAAAATAATGTGATTTGGCAGGTTGCTTGAATCACTGGTTATAGAAATATGAATGTATGATTAGTCTAAACAAGTGTTGGCTACATGAGCTGGCCGTGACTGAACTAGTTTGGCCAAATGGGAAAAATGAGGTAGTTATTGATTTGTGGTTGATTTTTGGATTCCTGATTTTCCTCAACTCATTTGGGGAACCAGTCCAGAAACCCACAAACTCCTCTTTGATAAATTGTTCCAAGTTAAAAAA